GCAAATTTAAATTCACCACATCCACAATCTGAATACGATTATTATGGAGCAGCAGTTTAAATTTGACCAATATAAGAAATGGAAATAAATAAATGGGTGCACATCAGTAATATGAAGGAACGAACAAAAGTTTACTTAGGTGGCAACGCTAAATAAAATTTTGACAAATCAAAATCATAATCAAAACCGTGGTATTTTATTTAAAGTTAAACAGCAAATAAATAAAATGGCAACAACAAAATCCAACCTAAATGACACAGAGTCAGTGGAAATTTCAACATGTCAGAAAATGATCTAATAGGTGTTAATACCACTGCTCCGATCAGGTAACAGAAATCAGCAACAAAAGTTATGAAGCCGATTTACTTCACCAGAGTATAAGTTGTAGTTGTTATTTCACTGAATATTGGATAGATGATACTAACTGAAACCTGCTTACTATAAGGCTTTGAAAATTTGTTTGTATATAATTTCGTTGACTCTTTCTGCATCAGGTTAACGCTGCTAAAAAGACAAATACCTTCATTGCTAGTTGCGAGATTTAAAAAAATTCGTTCTGCACTACATTACCCGGACCTAGTGCTGTATGATTTCTGGTTGGATAAAAAAAATACACCTAACTCTTTTTTTACACGGTTTTTTACACGGATTTGAAGTTACACGGTTGAAAAAAAAAATTTTTTTGTAAAAAATTAAAAAATTTTTAATCTAGTACGGTCTCAAAATCACTGTCTTGTTTGACACTTGGCATTTTTTTAACGGATTTCTGACGAACGTATCTACCGTGTAAAAAAAGAGTTGGGTGTATTTTAAGACAGAGGTTCGTCGACTATATTTATGAAATATTTTGTGCAGTTAATCAGGAAGTTGCCAACCACAAAAAATCTGATTCTGAGAACTGTTTTTGAAAGCAGATCTACTGACTATAAATTAGATTGAAAAAAGAATGAAATTCTTTTATATTATAATTATGAAAAAATGATGAAAAAAATAATGAAAATCGAATTTATAAAACTGTATTTATAAATTAAAGTTATAAAAATTATTTTTTAATTTTTTTATACAGCCAAATAAGCGAACTTTTGTTGAATCCCTAGTCTTTGTCGAGTGTTTGATCAAGTATCTATAAAGTGTTTAATTAAGTGTACTGGGCATAATCCTGGTGACAAACACACGAGCTTTTCTTCTATAAAAATGAACGTTTTCGACACAAATTCTTTAACTTCAACTATATTCTTTGATGCAATATATATTCTTTGATTATCTGTTCTACAAATAAGAAGACATTTTTTTACATGTGTTGAGAGCGTATCGTTTAAACGATAAATTTCGGATATCCTCTTTGAATTAATGATGTCTCTTGAAATAAATTAAAATAATTACAAGAATATAATATATTCTTTGATTATCTGTCCTACAAATAAGGGGACATTTTTTTACATGTGTCGAAATTTTCTACAAATTTCGGATTTTATTCCTGAATTGTTAATGTTTTTCTAAATAAATTGTAGTTATAAGTAGAAAATAACTTCTGCAGAATAAATATTTATTTTAGTTCTTTCTTAATTAAGGGTTACTGACAATATGTTTAACTAAGATATTGCCTTGCTTATATTTCATGATCGCATACTAACAAATTGTTACAACTATTACAGATAGTTAAACATGAATCATTTAATAGATAATTTAAGTTTACTGTAGTATTTCAAGACCTTGATTAAAATTGCAGCATGTGCAAAAAAAAAAAAATAAAATTGAAAAAGGGTGTCACGTATTTCAAATGATAAACTGTTCTATAGTAAATTACGCTTTGGTTGCTCTAGTCAAACTGAAATGCACATTGTGATTTACATACCGAAGCAAACTATTACATCTGAAATTTGTTGCATTTGTTCTCCACAAAACTTTAGTTAAAAATTCTCATAGCTCAAGTAAAGTTTGAAAGCGTGTAGGAATTTCCTGTTGAATAAATCAGTCGAACAAAGAACGACTCATACGTCATGTTGAACCAACACAAAACAAACACAGATATTTTGCTGAAGTTGATATATTTAAAATTCAATTTTTAGCGCTTATGAGAGGTTAAATTTAATTTTTTTTATGTTAATAAGTCAATTTGTGAAACATGAAAAAATGTTGATGTTTTTAAATAAAACATATAAAACTGCAAATGAGAAAAAAAATTAGTTTGATAGTTTTTTTGTCCTTTCTAAAATAATATTTCAAAATATTTCAATTTTAAATATTTCGTATAATAAATATAAAATAATTTATGCAATAAATTTCATGATAAAATAATTTTTTTTAAATATACACACGTGCATTTATAAAAAGATATAACAAATGTATAGCTACATTTAATTGTATCATATTATAAATATAAGTATGAAAAATATAAATAATATCTGGAAATGTTAAATAAATAAATATATTAAATTTTTTATAAATTTATTCTCATAATCTATTTTTATAGAATTTTTTCGTAACAAATAGAGTCAATGTACTATAACCTTGGCTTCAATGTGTTTACTGACGTATTTAAAGAAAAACAAATAGCTTTAAAATTATTGTATTCTTAATAGTAATAATAACTATTATTGAACTGTCATAAAAGATATCTTCTTTGAGTTGGAGATGATAAGATCAAGCACCTCAACGACTGATTGTAATCAGTTATCGCTATATATTGACTAAGTTCGTACTATTATTTTTAAATGTCAACTAATTTCAATGTTAACGCCAACAAGCGATAACTAATTACAATCAGTCGTTGAGGTGCTTGATCTTATCATCTCCAATTCAAAGAAGTTATTTTTTATGACAGTTTAAAACTTTACTAATTTAGAATAAACATCGAAAAATACAGAGATTCGCATATGTGGTAGCTAACAGAGCCATTATATCACGCCTTAAGAAGGCTCTCAGTACACGCACATAATTACAGTACGTCTACACGAATACACTAAAAAAACGGCACAAACGAAGCGAGTCACTGCAAAGACAGAACCTACAGTTATGTATATCTATTAACAATAAAACACAATCCATTTTGAAGATGAACTAGTAAGAAAAGGATAAGTCATGCAGACCTGGTGGTTTAAGGAAGCTAATAATATCTTACCAAAAATCTTCAAATAGCGAATTGTCGCATGTAAAGCTCTAGACTCTATATAAAATCTCAAACAAACAGTATTGTTGGTACGTAGAAAATGAAGAGATCTCTCTAGACTGACGGCAGTATTTAATGGTTGCTAGTCCATTCCGACATAAGACCGGAATGAGAAACTTAGAAATAGTAACAAATAGTAACAAACTCGGTAGTATTAAGATCAAAGGTAGCTCATGATTCCTCGACAGCTCTAAATAAAATCAGCTTCGTGTTGACCTAATATAGATTCCGAAACACAATTGAAGAAAACTATAAAGCTGATATATTGGTATTGACTAGCCACCTACCTATCGCCACCTATAAATAATTGTTGATGCATTGTGTTGTTTAAAACACCAAAAGAATTTGAGCAAATGACGAAAGATTTTAATATCTAGGCAAATGTGGCACTTACTTGATAGTAAAAACTGTAGGGACATTGTCTAATAAAAGAGAATATCTCTAAGATTGTTGGTTGTATGACCAGTTACTGGCTATTTAGTATTAACAATCTTCTATGAATATTGTAGAAGTTGTGAAGAGATAGAGAAAGAATACAATAGTGGAACACTTCTTCTACAGCTGTCCGACTCCAGCTACAAGTAGGACAAATTTCTTAGGCAAAGATGGTTTTATCTTTCTGACATAAATATACAACGCTTAGATTATTTATTTTATTTATTTATTTATGATTTTAAAGTTAAAGTTAATTTTAAAGTTAAAGTTAAAGTTAATTAAAGTTCATAGATCCTTAATCTTAGGAACTGGACTGCTAGATCCTTTGCTCTAAGCGCTTAGATTAAAAATGTCTTATGCTTTTCATGAGTAAAATAGGTTTCATAAGCAATAATATCGCAATAGACTTGAAATGGTCTAGTTGGTTAAGTAGTTGTAAGTTGTAAGTAGATCTAGTTGGTTAACTAGGCTGACTATCAAATTACCTTAATCAAATATAATATGATTTTGATTCATATTATAAGAGTGTATGAGTGTACTCCTACATTAATAAAGTTTACATTTTATTTGCAGTTCAATTTATTTTTGTGCTATGACAAGACATCTATTTAAAATAGACAAGGGTGTAATAGAGATGGCATTATTAAATCTAAAATTAAATTTTTTATCAAGTGAGTTTTTGGGCAGACCATATAGCTTTATCGAATACCGCTTTATATCCTTTGGAAAAGTCTGTTGGTTTATTTGTCTCTATATAATTATTAGACTGCAACTGCATGTCTCAGGATGAATTTTAGACATGAATTTTTAGATATGTCTAAAATATATATGACTCACAAAGTCAGCGTATTCCTATTTTGTATTTATATTTTAACACATTTTATTTTATTTTATTTTTTACATATTTTGTTTTTAATCTTTGAAAAGGAATATATATATATATATATATATATATTGAAAAGTAATACCCTTTTAAGGTATATAAAATATTCGTATTTTCAGATATGTTCAGCAGATAAGATTTATTTTATTGACATTGAACATTTAGACAGAATATGTTAATGGCAGCTTATCAAGACTTCCGACTGAGCAGTGTATTACGGGATAATTAAAATTTACATTCAATTTATCAACTTCAGCAGATATAAGTTCACGTGTATATTTTTCTAAACATTTTTAAAATTAAATGGGATTAAGTGAACTAAAAATAAAAATAAAAATACAACATAAACACTCCCAAAAGTAATAAGAAATAATCAGTAAACCAATAAGCAAATAACAGAATGAGAGTACATGAAAAACATTTCCAATTCGGGGATTTGTTTCGCACAAGCTAATATTTGTGTTTATATACTTGCCAGTGGATGGATGCCTTCAGGACCGACGTAAGACTTACCGCTGTAATAACTGTTATCCGAGTAACCGTATTTTCCGGCTGTTCTACCTCCTACAGGCATTTCAAGTTATTTTGGCTTGCCGGCGGCAGACGTCAAAAGTCGATTTGAGGAGGTGCCGATGTGAGCAGAAGTGTGCGGCAAAACAGTTGTAATTATCGTAAAATATGGGAAAAGTTGTTGCCCCTGATGATGATTGTTGCTGAATAAGATGGATTAACAAATTCTTTGATTTTGTTTTTGTACGATTTAATTTTCTTATACTGCTGTGGATTTCGATAAAATTTATTTCAGATACTTCCTTACATTATTTCTGGTTCTTCTATATTGTTTTACTGTTTGCATAAAACATTAGTTTTTCTTTTTTTAGTTTTTTTTTGTTTTAAGAGCAGTTCATGTCAATTGTGGTATAATGAAGTTAAAGTGAATGTTGCTATGTTAATGATGCTTTTTTGGTATTGTCTCTTTGTCGCTGTGATGCTGTCCAATTTCAACTATAATAAATGGATTTTCATTACTAAGAAGACAGTCTCAAATTACATTAAACCAACATATTTCCTTTTTATTACTTTGTACTTTTTTTTTGTATAATTAAAGTGTGATTTATCAACAACAAAAAGTATGAAAGTGTTCGGCACTAATCATTCTTTTACTTAGTATCTGTGCTGCTTTACTGCTGATTAGGTTAAAAACTCATAATTAAATGTTTTTATTATGTTGTTGTCACATACACTCACAGAGCACTTGCACAAATAACGTACTTCAGTGAGTGATGTGCTGCAAGGACCACTTATGCTGACTAGCAACCCAATAAATTGACATATGTTCTGGAACACCCAATGCTCCTTGAAACAATGCTGGAGGTTGTTTGATTGTTTATGCGAGATTGGAGATTGTGTATAATAAAGCGCTTAAAGCAGTTGAAAGAACGAAAGACCCAATAGCACAGTAGGGCAACTTTAACCCAGCATGGTGGGAAGGTATAAATATATGTTATATGGCACATATATACTTGTATGCATACGATTTTACATTATTGCAGAATAGCGTAACTTCTATACAACGCAATTTTCGTATTTTCGTTTTTCCAAAATAAAAATAAATAACAAAAAAAATTTATATATAAAAACAATAAAAATAAAAGAAACACAAACAGGACCCAAACTCCCAAACGTTATCAGATGAACGAGAAGCGTACAAAGCCATTGTCTAAATTTTATGATGATTTTTTTGTATCTTTAAGTGTGTATTGGCTTGCACGTGGAAAATGTAGACGAGGGAAACTTCTTAATTTTTTAAGGTTTAGTTTTTATAAGATTTGTCAAATATAATTAAATCAAAAATGAAATAATATAAAATTAAATGTAACAAATATGAAGCGATATGTTATGGGTTGAGAATTACAATTAAGTAATCCAAAAATACTACGATTCGTATTTATGAGGATGGCCAATTTTATTTATAAAAAAGAGAAAGGGTTTGACACTCTTAAACTTTATATAATAAAAAATTCAACGGTAAAATGTTAAAAACCTCATAAATCTCTTGCATCTGAAGTAATTACAGTCAATTCTCGAGTCCTGATAATACAACAAGTAAGGAAAATAGCGTATTCACTCAGCACAATTAATCTTATTTTTATTGTGACTTCGCTTAATCGCTATCTGTGAAGGACATTAGATGAAATAAACGAAAAAACGCCTCATCTCATTTACTAGAGTAATTAAATGAAACATTTTTAATGTTCTTATTATTAACTGGACTTAGTTTTTTGTTTATATCTTATACCCTTTACACAAATAATTATCTGCTTTCAAAACTAGATTTCAATACATTTGAAATGATTAGTTTAGTATTCTGCACTAAAACTTTACAAATTAACCCTTATATAGCAACATCATTGTTGTTGCGAATTATTAGTTATCTATTACGTTTACTTGTTTTTACATTTGCTTGGATGAGAAATGTTAGAGCTTCTCAACTCAATCAGTCCTCAACTCAATTTTAATGTATAGGACTTATAGGCTAATGTAAACTAGCAGCAGGCAGATTGATGCATGATATCAGTTTTTGATAGAAAAGAATTGGAAGAGAGTGTAATTCTACCTCTGTAAATTAGAGCAACAAAAGTTGTTGTATTTCTTTAGCTGAAGACATATGCATAACATTATTTTTTGCCAATAAGCGGTATCTATGTGTTAATTAGATACAAACGTTTTATCTGAATAAATATGTTTTTAAAGTTAAACATACACCATTCGAATAAATGTATGGAAGTAATAGAAGACTAATAGAAGAATAGAAGACCCAATAAACTATTAATAAGTTATTAATAGTTATTATTATTTTTCTCTTATTGTTTTTACACCAATAATGTCCTTTTTTTTGTTAGTTTGTTCTCTTTCATATTTATCTATTTAGTATAGATAATAGATATTTAATAAGTCCTTTTTTATAATACAATATCATGATTAGTTTAATATATTTACTTATCTCACGTTTATTAAACTTTATTAAAATAGGCAATAGCTATCTTCTCCTAGCTTAATATATTTACTTATCGCACTTTTATTAAACTTTATTAAAATAGGCAATAGATGTCTCCTTCTCCTCCTACTGAATATATGATAATATATAAATATATGAAATGCTCAGTTGTACCAACACTCGCCCTCTTAACCTAACCTACTTCATTATTCTATAATTAATTTAACTGTTAGTAACTGCAGTTTTGTAAATTTGAAAATTCCTTATTTGCAAACCAATATTCTTTGCTCTGGATCTGGAGATCTATTGTACTCCATTAATGGATTGAGTATATCTTTGAGTGTAATATCCTCATTAAATTGCACTATTGAACCTACTCTAACATTCTTATTTCTTCACCCGATATACGTTATCGAGTGTTTCTAGTTTACACTTTAGTTACTTCCCTCGTAAATAATTTTATTTGTGTAAGAACAAACATACGCGTGTAAAATGTTGGCCTTCTAGGGCTAATATACTTAACAAGCTCAAGAATCGAACGAAAATTCGTCAATACATGAAAGCGTATTAATGAAATTCGGTATCAAACCGTTGGATGTATGTAATTATTTGAAAGTAATAAAAATCCGTAAAAGATGTTGAATTTTATATGTAGATAAAATTTTTATTAACAATGGGTTCATTTTCAGATATTCAACAAATTAAATTAGATTTCCATATTTTTAAACAACAATATCCATTCATCAATATTTTACAAAATAAAAAAAATTCTGTATTTTTTTTTTTTTTGAATAAGAAATGGTCAAAAAAATTCAAAGAATGTTCTGTTCGTACCAACAAATGAAGTTTTCACTCGCGTTAATGAAGTTTACAACTTATTTATCGTGAAGATATTTGATTTAAAAAATTTTTATACACAACAATAAAGTTCAGCGGTTTCATTTTATTAGTATTTTCATCCGATTTTTTTTTATATTTTTTATATATTTTATAATAAGATAAATTATTCAAAACATGCTGAAATGCTATGAATTGAAAATGATGAAGTGTGTGTGGAAGTGGTTAGCTTGAAAGGAAGATACGCGTTGGCACAAACTGAAGTGTTAATGCTGACAGTGACACGGACAGGTACTTGGATAAAACTTGAAACCTTAATTGATTTATTCTTCGTGATGTGTTTCCCAAGCTTTTAAGCTGAACATATTGTTTACAATACAAATAACATTAAATGGAATATATAAATAACAAAAAAACAAAAAAAAAATCACACAAGCAAGAAATAATAAAAGATAGATAGAAGAAATAGAATATTTGCGTTTAATTTTTATTTATTCCTTATATTTGTCAAAGTGAATTTTCTATGGATTCTATGGATTCACCCCATATCTATCAACGTCTAACTTTGTTATTATTCGAAATTCTAACAAAAACCAAAATAGCAAATTTCTTTTTCGTGTCCTAACTCAACTCCTAACTCACATATACTAAGCACGCTTCTTTACGCCACGCTGCCAAACTCTTTAAGTTGGTTAAATTGCTTAAGAAAAAAAAACAAAAAACATAAATAAATAAAAAAAAATAAAATATCTAAGAGAACCCTTGCAGCTCTATGAAGGCAGGAAGAAAGAAAAGAACACACAAAGCAACCGCCTTGAGCCAAGTCAACTGATTTGACTCTTCGACATAGCTAAATTTCCTCAAAGAATACTTGGTATTGCGGCAATAATATGAATCAAGTAGAGCAACTCGACTGTAACATGATAACAAGCAATTCTTCACTTTAATATGGCGCCAACAGCCACAAATCCTGATTTTAACACAAAAATTTACGTTACTTTACGAAGCGAAATTCGCGCGCCACAACACGCCGTAGAGCTAAATAACAGTACCTCTACTCTTGAAGGACTTTGTTTCACTGAAGTAACGAAGGATGCTGTTATCAGTTTTATATGCTCCACGACTGTGTTATTAGGGTTACCAGGTTTTCTTTAATATGCACAATTACACAATCAGAATGCGTTGTGTGTTTTTATTTATTTTTGTTTATACAGAGATTTTCTTAGGGTCATGTTATACAGACAGTCATATGACGAATGGTCACGATGATTTTATGCTTTTTTTGGTCATGAGAATAATATAGAGAATATGTATTATATAGAGAACAATTATATAATTGTCATTTTTTTATCTTTATTCCTACATTTGATAGGTAATTATTTGTATACAAAATCTCTTAATAGGTGCAATTTATGTTTTGGTCAAAGAGTCGAAATAAGTCACAGAAAGACTTGTCACCGTAACCAAATTTAAATCGACTTTTCTCTCAATTTCAGTTTTTTAACTTTCTTTCTTTAATTGAAAACAATAACAACTTCAAGAAAAGCGAGATCATACCCTTAGGGCCATGTTATGTAGACTGACTTGGGCTCGTCAAAATGATCTCTTTTGGATGTCATATCAGTGTGTCAATTTCGTATTTTTAATATTACTTTTGTAGTTTTTGGTTGTTGCTAAATTTTAAAGCAAATATATGCATATATATATAGGTATAAATAATTATATTTATATTTATAATCATATATACATATACATATATACAACACTGATTTACCTAAGTGACGAGGCACAGATAGGGCCATGTTATGCAGAAAATCATGGGCTCGTCAAAATTGGCTCTTTTGGGTTAGGACTGATTAAATGCATGTTATGCACAGTGTCACAAAAATTTTAATAATTCGCTCCAAAATTATTACATTTATTGCTTTGACCAAGTGACAAGGCGCAGATATCCTCGTCTCTCATAGACTAATTTGAGCCAATATTTTGTTATTTCTCTCACTATCAATATTTTAATTTGCATTGAAAACAACAACGATGACTTTCTGCATAACATGAGCCTTAGAAACTTTTAATGACATATTCTTTTCCTTTTTAGTGCTGTTAGTTTACACTTTGTCACACTTGATGAAATTTTTTCATTATATTTTCTAATTTCGTTTTCTTAATGTAGTTAGCTAACAGCTTAGTTGCTATTTATAAATTATAGTACAAGTATTGGTTTAATAATTCTTATATAATTTTTGTTACTTATTGACCGTTGTTAAATTTGAACTGCGGATCCGATCGTTGCACTTTAGATCACTTGTATTCTGCAAACATGTTTAAAGAGTTTTGCATACTGTCGAATTATATAATCACATAGCAATTGAAAGAATATTTGTTTAAACTCCAAGTGCCATTTCTAGTAAAAAATTATATGTTCTATGACATGAAAAGCAGTTCAAAGAGACCACGGATGATAGATGGTATATGGGAATATCCAAAAGCGGTGTATGGTCAGTACAGGTGTTCATTTGATTAAAACTTTAATTTTTTAGAATTTCGAATTAACATATCTCACTTTTAGCCAGTTTTCTAGTTAAAATGGATTTCTTGTCAAAAGGATAAAAAATTCTGAATTATAAATTATAGTATTCAAAAAAGTGATTAAATATTATAGAGCAGTTTTACTACATATTAGAAATGCAACAAAATGCTTACAGCTTTGATCAGCTCTTCTGACATTTGAAGCCTTGTTATTATCCATTTAAACTAAGTTAAGCATTAACTGCATGCGAGAGTGAAGTGAAGGAGTTGTTTTTAATAGATCAATTTATATTCAGTATTTATTATTTTTAAAATTACTTAATTTATTATTGTTTTCATCACCGGTATATAATCAATTGAATTTTTGTTTTTCTTTCAATTATATTTTAATGAAACATAAAAGTAACCGCAAACCCTTTCAGGCTGAAATCCTAGCAATTAGAGAAGCATGTCGGCAAATAGGAACATCGTGGGGAACGAGAAAGCTGACAGTTTAGCTTTAGTATATAACAGTTTAGTATATATGACAGTTTATGACAGTTTAGTATATAATCAATTGAATTTTTGTTTTTCTTTCAATTGTATTTTAATGAAACATAAATGTAACCGCAAACCCTTTCAGGCTGAAATCCTAGCAATTAGAGAAGCATGTCGGCAAATAGGAACATCGTGGGGAACGAGAAAGCTGACAGTTTAGCTTTAGTATATAACAGTTTAGTATATATGACAGTTTATGACAGTTTAGTATATAATCAATTGAATTTTTGTTTTTCTTTCAATTGTATTTTAATGAAACATAAATGTAACCGCAAACCCTTTCAGGCTGAAATCCTAGCAATTAGAGAAGCATGTCGGCAAATAGGAACATCGTGGGGAACGAGAAAGCTGACAGTTTAGCCCGCTCTGGTGCTTCCCTAGATGCGTCACTGACGGTACCAATTTATATTACCCTAAAGACCATTAAAAAAGTATCTTCCTCTACTTTATGCAATTTGCCAATAACAGATGGAAAGCACTTAGGTCATGTGCGACTTGCAGGTTAACATGGCCTACCTATAACAAAAATAAATCCTCGGAACTCATCAAAAGAGTTCGCGTGAACACTGCAAGGCTTACTGCAGTTCTTTCTGGTCATTGGTATGTAGGATCTCATGCAGAGAAACTACGCATTCTTCATAACTCTCAATGCAGAAGTTGTGGAAAACCGCAGGAGAAAGAAATAATAATACATTTTCTCTGTGAATGTCCGGCTTTAGCGTCCAGAAGATATAGGTTCTTAGGAAAACACTTCTGTGATAGTTTATCAGACTACTCAACGATGAACATAAAAGACCTATTAAATTACCTAAATTCGGCGGGATGGATTTAGTTTTAACTCTTCTATACTAGGGTTCTTGCGAGGAATGTGGTAGCAAAACGGCGAAAAATCGCTAATTGAGGTACATTTAAAGTTATCTAATGGTCTGCCACTGCAACCAACGTACCAACCGCAAACCCACTTTTCATTGAGAATATTTTTAACGACGGTCTCAATTACTGTAGTAAATGATGTTAAGAATTTGTTTTTAGGTTATATATACTATGTGCAACATTCAGTATCAGTAATATCAGTAACCTATTACAGTATTCCATCAAGTATAAAAAATAAAATCTTTCGCAGAAATCTACACATAAATATAACTGTAATAATATTAATTTGATAAGTAAAGTATATTAAATATTGTGATCTAGTAAGGAGAGTTCACGAGACAATTTTGATGTTGCTGATAGGAAAAACTAAATTTTCATGATATTGAGAAATCTTATTTAGTTTAATAATCTTCAAACTACACAGATTTTCACACATACTGAAAATTATTTAGGATAGAAGACAAATGGAAGGAAAGTTAAAGAATAATAATGTTTGGAATAAGTTCAAAATTAATTCAAAATTTAAATTAATTAATTAGTAAGCTAAAATTCGTCAACTCATTATGTCAAACAACAATAATCGCATGGTTGATAACTGTACGACAGTACTTAACCAATCTGACTGAGAATGTATAGAAATCGAAACAAAATATAGTGATTGCAATTGTCTAAAAGACTGAATATATTTGTAAGAGCAAGTTATGTATTTAATTTTATGTTTCCTTTCCGCAGTTTAATTATTAGAATATTTGAATTGCTTTTCAGATGTGTTAATATAACCTAACGTTACCAAAGTTTCTTGACTCATTTAAATCTATTATAGAAGTGGCTAGCAATATGGTGCATAAAGTTTACATGTCACGTTTACTCTACGAAAAGAAATGTACCCCCTGTTACGTTGAATTATATCATTATACCCCAGGCAAACGATATAAAATATTTTGGGCTTACTTGGATTAAGCACATTTGAAGCAAAAAAACTCAAGTAAAATAGAAATCACAGCAGTTTTATTGGCTTATTAATAAAAATTCTAAGCTAAGTTTGGAAGATAATAAATCAATCTTAAAACCTATCGGGTCCTATGGCATAGAACTCTGGAGTACAATATGTGCTTCTAATATCGAAAAAAAAGAGAGAGACAAATAACTTACACAAAGAACTGGCGTTTCTTGGTATCTCAAAAATTTACAAGTCATTTACATGTTACGGACGTCATTAGAACATGCGACCAAAAATATAAAGTGAAGGTATATCAGTATCTTAATCCGATGGCGCAATAGCTACCACATATCCAGACTAAAACGAAAAAGCTTTATACCACCTTAACATAATTTCGATAAAAATTTCTTTCGTTTGTTATAAATTTTACTTGTGGAAAAACACGATTAGACTTTTAATTTTATAGGCAAGAGTCTAAGCCTGGCATTTGCCATTCTATATAATGGCATATATATATATATATATATATATGGTATATATATATATAGTTTATAGACTATAAACTAACTAAAAATTCGAATACTTCCTAAGACCATTGATGATGATGAGTACTTGGCAATACTCGTAACAGCGATGAAGGTATGGTTAGCCAAATTTTAATAAATTAGTACCTGATAATTGCATTATGTTTAGTTTTTAAGATTTGATTACATTTCTTATCAGAAAGATACAATTAATAATAAAAGAAAAAAAAAATTTACCATTATTCTACTACTATTTAAACGAACAATAAAGTCGTATGTCATGTTGCAAGTACACCACTTGAATAATGTAGATCGGTATATTCTGAGTGGTACACAACCATATCCATGTTCGCCGAAAGTCTTTGGAGAATTGAAAAAAAACCAAACGTTGAAAAAAGATCGTCTTCCACCATGGCAATGCGATCTTCTACACATCAGCTCAAACAGAAGAGCCTTTGAGTGCTTAAAATGTCAAATTGATGAGTCATTCGATTCACAGTCCCGACTTGGCACCTAATGGATTCTTCTTATTCCCAAACATCAAGAAATAAATCCTTATCAAGGGCTTTTTGACGCCCGAAAAAGCCATTGAAAAGTTCAGAATCATAGTTTTGGAGATAACAATTTCAGAGTTGCAGAACTGTTTTAAAAATTGCTTTAATCAAATGCATAAATGTATTGATCATCATGGAGAACACTCCGAAAAACAATGAAACCATTTTCACTGATTAACCACTGTGTTTATTTTTAGCCACAAGACTTAAAAGGCTACCATTGTCTTAATCATATAAAGGCGAAATTAATCTTTAAATAGCACTCTTCAATTAATAGCACCATGCATACATGATAGACTATTTCAGATGTTTTGTTAAGATATTCACGATGTAATTAAATGTGGTGCAGCTCACTGAGGTGACTGATTGCAAAGTTTGAACAAACTAAAAACTAATTTACATTTTATTTTATGCACATTTATTTTATTTATTTTTCCTGATGCTATTTTTCATAAAGAGCTGATGTGTCTTTTTTCTTTGGCTATGTCGCCAACACATCTCTGACAATAAATATACATTAACTCATAATCGTGACGTATACTGTATTTCGCATAACTCCATATTCCTCTTGTAGATTTATCAGCAGTAATGTTACACATACTATATTTCAATTTTTAAACCTATCAAATATCCTATAACAATTAATAAGTATTACCGGTTAGTTTATTTATAAAACAGCTCTATTCAACATTATATATAATATTTATTAAATACAATCTTTGTTCTGCATATAAAATTTGACATTAAGCGTACACTTATAGTTCTCTTTTATAATCATTGGACTTTGTCCATATTTTTTATTTATCAAATTATTCAAGTACAAAATTATATTTATTTTAAAAAAAATTAATTAAAGCTCTGCATGTACAAAGAATTTTAAAAATCGTAAAACATTAGAAATTAAAGCAAAATTCATTTAACCTTCTAACAATTTGGAGTGATATTCTAAATGTTCTCCAATAAAAGTGTTTATATAGAAGTAGCCATGATCATAACCATCTCGTTCTTTGTAAATTAAAGATATGTGATCACATATACCTGCAGCTTGCAGTAAATTTTGCGGCAATAATTGTCCTTCTTTAAGAAAATTATCAGCAGTACCTTGGTCGACGAAAATTTGCATGGGAACGCCAGTATAATTCTTTATCAATTCAGTAGCATCCCATTCCTTCCATTCATTTGCATTTTCGCCCAAATAACCACCAAGAGCTTTTTTACCCCAAGGACATTCTGTTGGATTTGAAATAGGAGCAAACGCTGATACCGATTGATATAGGCCAGGATTCTTGAGTGCACATATAAGAGCACCATGACCACCCATGCTATGTCCAAATATACCTCTTTTATTTGGGGAAGTTGGTAAATTCTCATCGATCAAATCAACAAGTTCTTTTGTAACATAAGTAAACATTTTGTAGTGTTTTGACCAGGGTTTTTCCGTGGCATCAACATAGAAACTAGCGCCGGAACCAAAATCATAAGAATCATCTTGACCAGCTATTTCAATGTTTCGTGGTGATGTATCAGGATTAACAACAATCAGATCATATTTGGAGGCATATTGTTGCATGCCGGCTTTTTGTATGAAATTTTCATGTGTGCATGTCAGACCACTAAGAAAATATAGCACGGGACATTTTTTGTTGTCCTCAATTACCGCCTGTGGGACATATACGCCAAATTTCATTTCACATCCCAAAACACTACGAAATAATATTTTATTATCAAAAACATTTTATCAATGCTAAAAAAGTGTATTATTTACTCTGAGACATGCGAGTAGACACGTTGCTCTCCTCCGAAAGACTTAACAGTTGATAATAATTTCATAGACATCTTTCTAAGTAATGAGTTTGCTTTTATTAGATTCATGTTGAGATAAGTTTAATAATATATTTGAATTAATATTTCTTCAATTTTCGGAACATTTTTGCATTTGTTATTAATTTGATTTGCTTTACCTTGATGAACTTTGAACTCGGCGTAAAAATAGAATATTTTAATCACACTTCTAAAAAATATAGTATTGATGATATATATTAATCGAGGAATACAATTGATATTAAATATATATTTAATACTATTCAAAATATATATGTATATAATTACACAAAAAAGCCGCAAATTTTATCGAACGTCAGCTGTTACTTAAATGTACACAATTTTACAGCACTGATGTATGACAATCGCAGCGTTGCCAATCTCAGTTACAAGATGATAAAATTATTGGCATTAATTCAAATTATTTAAATATAGCAGAAAACACAGCTTTAAAAAATTCTTAAAAAAAACTGTTCTAAAATACTTATTAAAGTAATTTTATTGCTTATTTACACAGCATGTATAAATTCTAATTTTAATTATAATTTTGCATGTCTCCAAAAATCTATCTACAAAAAACTATTTCTTTTTTTCTAATTTCGCTCATACATGAAAATGCCGAACGTTACATTAATACATATTTTTTTTTTCTAGCTTGTGAACACACATCTGCATTTTTGTGAGTTACGATTTTATGTTTAACTTAATGTTGTATATATTACATAATATCTATTTGGTGAATATATGTATGGATTCGATATATAACTTTGTAACAAAGTGAAGTCAATAATAAAAATTAAGATTACTTATGCTAATCTAATCTATTCTATTCAGATGTACTAAAAGTTTTTCAAAACTATCCTTTGTTATTTTTAATAATTTGTGTGACGTTAATAATTTTATTATCTCCTAAATAAAATTGGTAATGTAAACAATACTATTAAACGGTTTTTAGAAATGTTACGTGGATATGCTAACTAAATCATACTGTTATAAAAACGATTTAGCGTACACACTTAATAGTAGACTAGAAATACTGTACTGAAAAAAAATTTGTACTGTTAATCCTAAACAGTTTAAACTGTTTAACTTGCCAAGAACATCCTTTCTACTCTCCCTCATTTGTTTCTAATTTTATCTTTGTTTTACCTATTTATTGTTTTCCCTTGATTACTGAAATGTGATTTCAGTTTTTGACTTTTACGATTCGATTTCCGAAATTTGTCAATTTTGCATTCCTGAAAGATTATTTTAATGGGTTCAAATCTCATACTGTAGCTTTCTATGTATTCCAACATTGATTTCGGTATATATAATTTGCTCTAAATGTATTTTTCGATTTTTTGTAATATACTCAGAAAATAGAAAACATAAATGTATGGTTGTATTAATTTCAATAATTCAATTTGATAAAGTGCTTATAAAGTGCAATCATTTCTATTTTCTTTTCATATTTTTATCTATACTAAAATGGAAACTTAGTAAATAGAACAGTTACTGTCATTTTAACAGCGATGACATTTTAAGCAAGTCACTCACACGACTATTTACTAAAATATATTTCAATTAGTTTCGTAGGTACTTATGTTATTAATATAATTTTGACACTCTTAAAATAAAAAAAATTTAACAAAACAAATATATTTTGTTTCCGCACAATTTCACAGAATGCTTAAATATTTCATGTTTCCGAACACATCAGAATTTTCTTCGTTGGCAACGCAAGCACAAACATATGTTTATAATAAAAAAACCTAACTAGTGTAAACAATTGCTACCGCATATATGATAAGCATAATTTTATACTTTAATTCATAAAGAAATTATAAATATAAATAATATAGGAATGTCTGAGGAAATAGCAACGTCTTCGTTTGGTTTTAAAAAGCGTAATATAAAAAAACAGGCGGCTAGACGTAAACAAGCCAGCAGTTCAGATTCAGGTTAGTTGTTGTGCATTATTTAATAATACAGTAATTAATTATATTTTCGTTCATAACTGAGCAGATAAAAGTAGTGAAGGTGAACAAACAAGTGCAGTTGTGAGAGCAGAAAATCGCCGTAAACGTACAAATCCAAATTTTCAAAGTACAAAAATATTGGGTGGTAAACGTGATAAAAAAACGCGTCTTGAGGAAAGCAGTACAGAAAGTGAGGAAGAGCGAAAGGTAACTGTTTCTTATAAATCAAAAAAAGATGCACTACCAAGTGGTCCACAAGATCAAGGTGCAACAGCTGTGCTTGAATTTGAAACAGAACACGATAGAGATGCACAAGCCATACATGAAAAAGCGATAAAAATCAACGAAGAATTAGAGGGAAAACCAGATGATAAACTATATCGTGGCATAAATAATTATGCACAATATTATAAGAAACAAGATACAGCTATGGGTAATGCTAGTTCGGGTATGGTACGCAAAGGACCAATACGTGCTCCAGCACATTTGCGTGCAACGGTGCGTTGGGATTATCAACCAGACATTTGCAAAGATTACAAGGAAACTGGTTTTTGTGGTTTTGGTGATAGTTGTAAGTTTTTGCATGATCGTGCAGACTATAAGGCAGGTTGGCAAATCGAATTAGACCACAATGCACATAATCGTGGAGATTGTGAATCAGATGGTGATGAGAACAAATATGAAATAGCTTCAGATGAAGAATCACTGCCCTTCAAATGTCATATATGTCGTCAAAGTTTTGTAAATCCCGTTGTGACCAAGTAAGCATAATTCTTTTTATAAGTAAGAAGTTTTCATTTATTTAATTTTATTATAGGTGTAAACACTATTTTTGCGAAAAATGCGCTCTGGCCCAGTATAAGAAATCACAGCGTTGTTTCGTGTGCACGCAACAGACTATGGGTGTCTTCAATCCTGCTAAGGAGTTAATTGCTCGTCTTAAGAATGCGCCAGATAGAACTGAGGTTGGCCAATCTGATTCAACGGATAGTGATTAAATTAAGACAAAATATATAAAATTTTTGAAAAATAGGTAAACAATTTGTAAAAATAATTTCATTAACAAATTAGGAGCATTTGATTTAGATTTGTAACTATAAACAAAAAATACAGATTTAAAAAATATAATTTTAATTATATATAAAAAAAATAGTATAGTTTTTATAGGTAATAAAAAATATAAGTAAAAATTGATTGCATATTATTTTTTTTAACTTGGAAGTATATATATTTACTTGATATATGTTTATATTGTTTGTTTTAGTACTGTTGTCTTTTCATTATTCCTATTTGTATTTCTTTCTTGGATATGTGTATTTGAAGAAGATTTAAATTTAAAATAATACAAATAAATCCATTCATCAAAAAAAAAAAAACAAAAATACTAATGTAACTATTATACACATACTATTGTAAAAATTATTGTAACTAAACAATAGCTAAAAATAAAGAGAAATGCTACCGAGAATTACATGTGAGTTCTTTAGAATTAATTGCAAGCTGAAAAAAACCAAGTTCTTTGAGACATATTGTCCAGAATTCAGATTATAGACTGTAGTTTAATTATTTTGGGCAAAATAGAAGGATTATGGTTTTGGTCTATAACAAGTTTTCTGTTTAAGGAATTTAAGGTAGTGGACTAAAAAACAGAGCTTGGGATATATTATTTTCTCATGAACCCTCTATATTATAATATACTATTTTCATCATCTTTTTTACTTCCTGGACAAACGAGGTATCTTTGATTTTTTTCATTGAAATTGGTGAATTCAGGACCCACCCAGCAGTATCCAGAATCCTGGGTGTCATTTTCGATAGTATGTTCACCTTTTTTGCTAATGTCACTGCAATGTGTATTCGACTGAAATTTCGCAAAGTTGTAAAAACTCTGGCAGGTTGTTCATGGACTTAAGATAAAGAATCCGTGTTGAACACAAACAAAGCAATAGGCAGTTCTATTGCGGCTTATATAGCTCTAGTATGGCCCCACAACTCTGCAAGACGCAAATTTTCGGAATGCGGCCGGCTATCATTACATGTTGCATTTTGAACACTTTCATGCAGATATACAATGTTTTTATTTTCGTGTCATACAGTTGGCCACCCCAATGGTAACATATTTAGTAGATCCTTCTCTCCACACTGGATTCGTCGATCCCTGTATTTGTATCATAATATTACAATAATGTATGGTAGTAGTAGTAGTAGTTAATTTATGTTATTAATAAATAACTTACAAAATATTTACACATTGACATATTATTACTTGTTGAACTAAAGGCATGGCCCAAATGCCGTCTGCCAACAAACTAATTAACTAAATAATAACTAATAATTAACACATATGATCTATAATTTAACTTAAGGAGTTCGCCCCGAGTTTTAAAAATCTGGCTGGTAGTTCCAATAGTATAATCATCCTTAAAATAATTCCGATCGCGTAATTCATATTTCAACCTTTTGTAAGCATGTCTATAATCTTTTGCCCTTGCTGCCAATGTAAATTGAGCTCTTTCATTCGCCAAAATTTTTACCACTAAATTTTTTTGCGATGAACGCCATACTTCTCTATTTTCGAGCAACAATACTTCATCATGCGTGTTAAGCAGTGATTGCCATTTTTCAACAAAACCTGTCTTCGTATTTACGAGGAAACTTGCCAGAATTTTAGGTAGTCTATTGTCACTCAGATTCATGACGTGATTTATATATTTAAAATGTAGTTTTAGCGTCTCTATATATAAAGTTGACAATCCTGTTTCTAAATGTAGCATATAGTTAGACGTGTTTTGCGGTAGCTTAAATATTCTTTTTATGAAGTACCTTTGAAGCATTTCTACTTCGTTAAATTCGACTATTCCCCATAGTTGTGTTACATAAAAGTGAATTGATTTTACAGCCGCTTGAAATATTTAAAACTTTATCGAGGGTGCAACCACATTTTTTCCTAAAATTATTTTCTATGACGAGTTTATTGCTTTTCTGGCTTTATTTAACTTTTTACTGAGATGTTCATTGAATTTACCTTATTAAGTGATCCAAACTCCTAAATATTTGTATTCTTTTACTATTCCATATTTCATTTTTCATAGGCCTTCTGCAATTTTTTTGAATATCATAATTTTTGATTTAGAAGTATTTTTTTAAGTTTCCATATCATACAGTAGGCATATAATTCATTGAACATAGTTTGCATTTTTATAGGTGAGTCCGCCATAAGTACTATATCGTCTGCATATAAAAGTTATTTAGTACATGTTCCATTTATTAGGATACCATCGGAAAAATAATTGTTTAAATCGTCTATGAACAACGCAAAAAGTAGAGGACTCATCAAGCAACCCTGCCTTACTCCTGTGTTTGAAGAAAACCACTTGGAAAGACTGTTTCCATCCCATACTGCTGCAGTCGTGTAACAATATAACGACCTCAGTATGTTTAGCATTTTTGTAGACATTCCATAATTGCTAAACTTATAAATAGCATCTCTGTCGATAGAATCAAATGCACCTTTAAAGTCTACAAAAAACATGTACAATTTTTTTCCTTTTTCTACGTACCTATAATTTTGCAATATTTGCCAGAATAAAAACATTGTCCAAAGTTGAGTAACCTCGCCTGAAGCCTGCTTGGTATTCACTAAGTAGTTTTTTATCATCGACCGAACTTTGCAGTCGTTGAAGTAATATGTCTGTAAATAATTTTGTTTTTGAATTTAAAAAGGATATTCCTCTATAATTTTTTACGTCATGCGGATCACCTCCTTTATAGTGGAAACACCATTGAATTTTTAAAACATTCCGGTACTTCTGAATTATCGTATATGTAGTTAAAAATCTCTGTAATCCTTGTGATACCTTCACCTGAAGTAAATTTTAAAAATTCTGCTGGAATTCTATCTATAGAACGCCAGTATTAAGATATACTGACTTACTGAAGTTCATGCCATTTACTTTACGTACATTATTCCAAAAGCTTGTGGAGTCTTTTACTGATGATAATGATAAGGCAAGATCATTAGTGTGTTGGATTCTTTTATTACAGCAAACAATTCTGTAAACGTTTTTGGCTGTCTTATACTCATTCCAATCTGAAACTAGGCCTCTTTTTCTCGACATCTTCAAGTTATTAAAACAGTTTGTCCTTGCAATTTCATACTCTTTATCGAACCAATCTTTATTTCCTTTTTTCTTCGTTGGCCCTTGTTGAAATGCACTAGCAGCTTCATTTATTGCTGTTGAAAGTGTTGCTATCATTTCATCAGCTGTAGCTTCACACATTACATGACTGTTCAATAACTGGTCAAGGCTAATCTGATATAAGTTCAAATATTGCTTTTTTCATTTTAGCTTAGGTTATAGTTTCATATTTTTGCAGTAGTTTATATGATTTGATTTAAGCTTTAGTTCCACGGGTAGATGGTCCGAGTAGATTTTCTCTTGTATAATAAGTTGCTGTATAATATTTAAGAATAAACCTTATAAAACGCAAGAATCAATTGCTGACGTTGCTCTCCCACTCGCAAATGTTATTTCGTCCTCTATATTGCCACTAATTCTACCATAAATTACTGTGAGTCCTAGAGCATTGAACAATTCTATTAATTTTTTTCCGTTCCTATCTAGAGTTAGATCTTTTGTCTTTCTTTGTACCTGTGCGTTTCCCTGAGATAATTCAGGAATAAACTCAATACTTGTTCATTTCCTATTCTTCCAATAAAATCACCTATAACCATCACATTTATATTGTCCATATCATATATTGCGTCCCTTAAGTCGGTGAAATCAGCATCCCAATTATTACAATTTATGGCCTTTATGGTATTTATGGTAGGCCTTTTGATCTTCCAATTTTAACTCAACCACCATAAAATTAACCATTTTATCTTATGTTATAATGTATGTTATGGTTTTAATAGATAAATATTAATGCATTCAAAATACGATAGATTTGTAATAATATCATTTAAGAATTTTTATAACATATATAACACCTCATTGTGAAACTTAAAGGATATTTGACTTATATATGAATATAGTTTTGGTATAATTATAAAATTCAATTTTCACTGAGTTGACGAATTCATTTTATTATTATATATATTAATTTAAATTCATATTAACATGTTATTTGTTGAAATTCGCGGATATAAAATAGGTAAAAAATTTTAAAGAAATTTTTTCATCATCAGGAAAGTTTCCTGATGATGACTTTAGACTAAAGTCGAAATATCGAAGAAAAATAAAAATTATTGAAAAAACAAATTGTGAATTCTTAATTTTTGTTTTTATTTTTAACAACAATAATAAAAAAGTTTTGACCAATTAGCCTATAAAAAAATAAACACTTATTAAAAATATTTTATGAAATTTTTTTTAGAAATATAAAAATCGAACGGCAACTTTTTATTCCCCTTCAAAATTATTTATAGCTTTCTTTCATATTTTGAGATAATTTAATACCGTAACAGATCAGTTACTATTACTATTGGTCTTATAATTATTATTGTGATAATTTATTTTGGTCGCAACCTTACTTTAAAAACAACAGGAAAATAATATTGAAGAATTGCGCTAAAGTTCAATTCATTGTTCAGAATACCTTCAACTCAAAAAGTACCCGGATTTTGTAAATAAAACACACAAATTTAAATTTTATTCCAAATTAATTTTATCTCCTTCAAAATATGCTCCTTCTGAAGCGATACACATATGCCAACGCTTAACCTAATCTTCCATACACTTTTCGTAGGCCCGTGCAGATATGGCATTTAGTTCCTTCGGCGAATTCTCTTTTACCGATTCAATCGACTCAAAATGTTTACCACGAAGGGACAATTTGAGTTTCGGAAACAGGAAAAAGTCACACGGCGCCAGATCTCAAATCTCAACATTTTCAAATCTCAACATTTTGTTAACGATACTTCAGAACTATACCTACTGATACTTTATTAAACTTAATAAGAATTTATTTGATTAAAAAATATGAATAGGTTCGATTCTGGTCTTCGTTCCGACAAAATTAATCGGCTTTTCAGTTCAGTTCTGTGTAAAAATTTTTTATGTATTTGCATTACAAAGCACTTTTCTTGTTATGATGAAAGTTATTATATTTATT